TTTTTTTTTCATGCACACAATAAATGTGAAAAAAAAATTTAAAAAGGAGAGATACCCCTCTCCCCCCAAAGTACCAAATCTCGGAATAAGAATATATACTGAGAAAAGGATTTTTTTTTTTAATTTCAGAGTCAGAGGTCTTACTAGAGATCCTCTTGCCTCAGCCTCTCGGGTGCTGAGATGACAGGTGTGTACGTGATGATGTGCCTAGAATCTTGGAATCACAGAGCATAGCCCTTGGAGGCAGGTTGAGAGGCCAGAGGAACACCTGTTATCTGCCTTTGGGATTTACAAGCTCATGGAAAATTCCGAACAGGACTACCAAGGACAGAAGCCCTGACAGTGGCAGCCAGCACTTGCCAGGGATTTTTGTCAAAGTTCTGTATGGCAGCTGAGCATAGTGGCTTATGCCTGTAACCCAGCACTTTCAAAGCTAAGACAGGAAGATTCGCCCTGAGTTTGAGGCCACCTTGAGCTACATAGGGGATTCTAGGCCAGCCTGGGCTACAGAGTGAGACCTTGTGTCAAAATAAAAAAGTAATAAAAATAAATAAAAATAATGAACTAAGAATGGGATCAACCTTTGAAAGCCAGCAGCTGGAGAATCATGGCTTCTTTTGAGACGTCTCCAAAATGTGGAAATGGTTTGTGCTCCCCAATGAGAAGAATTGGGGGTGGCTGGTCATGGGCTATGTTGTCCCTGTTAAGATGGCCTGCCCTTCAGAGAGACACAGCCCTTAATGCTTTTTAGTCCCTTCCTGAATCTTGAAAACATTTGAATGTACAGTCCTGGATGTAGCTGCTGTGCCATAGCAGAAGAGAAGCCGAGGCCTGCAGAAAGGAAGCGTCTAACAGAAGCCCAGAGTGGAAGAGAGGCGGATGGCGGTCCTGATTGAGGCGAGTCCTGTAACCGGAGTCAGTGGGTTAAAGCGCTTGCTTCACTAGGCCTGACTACTTGAGTGGCAACCCTGGAACCCACGTGGTGGAAGGAGAAAACCGACTCCCACAGATTGCCCTCTGACCTACACACACACACACACACACACACTAAATGTGGGAGGAAATGCTGTAACAGTGCTGAGGCTGTAGATCAGTTGGTGGATTTTTGTGCTTAATATGCACAAAGCTCTGGGCTGAATTTCCAGCACCAGAGAGACAGGATTTGGGGGTGCACATCTGTAAACCCAGCACTCAGGAGGTGGGTGGTGGTAGCATTGGCTACCTAGTGAATCTGAGGCCAACTTTAATTAAAAAAAAAAGCCCTATGTCCAAAAAATAGGTTTCTGAGATGACTCAGTGGATTGAAACTTCAAGGATGGAGTTCAAATCCCCAGCACCTTTGTGAAAACCAGGCAGGTGTGGGGGTTGTACATAGTCACAGAACTCAGGAGGCAGAGACAGGGCGTCCTCGGAGCCTGCTGGCTAGTCAGGCTGGTCAGTTCAGCAACAGACCCTCGCCTACATAAATAAGGTGGAGAAAGACTGAGGAAGACACCTGACACACACACACACACACACACACACACACACACACACACCGTACACATATGCACACGTGAGTGCACCTATGCACACGTAAACACTCTTCATATACACAAGCACATCACACACACGTGCCAAAAAGAAAAACGGGAAAGAAAGCCACATATGGTGGCTCAGGCCTCTAATGCTAGAACACGGAAGCCTGAGGCAGGAGGATCACTGTGAGTTCAAGGCCAGTGTCAGCCACAGTATGAGCATGAGCCCTGTCTCAAAACAAAGTCCAGAACAGCTACCATTTTGTTTTTGAAGGGGAGAGAAGAGTCTTGCTGTGTAGCCCAAGATATCCTGAAACTCTCTCCATCCTCTTGCCTCCACCACCCCAATGCCGGATTACAATGTACCACCCTGCCCAGGGCATTTTGTTTGGACTGTTTGTGTACTAGGCATCCACGCTAAATGCTTTTCAAACACCGATGTGCTAACCACCGTTCACAAATCTATCGATACCATAATAAATCTCATTTTACAGATGAGAAAAACCAGGCAAGGAGCAGTCACAATCTTGTCATCTGCTCAGGGCCACAAAAGTACTATGGAAGAAGAGAGGATTCAACTCAAATGCGCCTCCACAGCCTGGGCCTCCAGCCATGCGCTCTCTCATTTTCTGAAGCCTCGGAATGATAAGAAAGGATAGATCCTGGTTCTGAAACCTTTCGTGACCGTCCTGTGTGAGTGTAAGGCCTATGTGGTACTGATCCCATTTCCCACGCCACATCCAGAAACACTCGATGAGTCCCTACTCCCTTGTGGCCACCACCAAAGCGGAGGGAAGGGGCCATGTTCTTCTCTCTAAGCTGCGTGGAATCCACGCCCTGCCGGGTGCGAAGGCATTTTGGAGAGACCTGGCTGGGCGTTAGGAGCCCAGCCTCTTCAGCACCAAGGACAGCAGCCTCGCGCGCGAAGCCTCAAGCCCGCAACGTTTTGTTTTGTTTTGGTGGGTAGCGGTCACCAGGAACGCGTTCCTCCAGGGCTTTCCTCCCACCGTGTCCCCAGGATTTAGGGGAATTCAGATTTATGGTCTCCTCAATGCCAAGGCTGAAGAATCCCAGCACCTTAAAACCAAGCCTTTGCTTTTTAGATGGACTTGAAGGCGCTCTCGCAAGCGCTCTGTTAGCCGGCGCAAGGGCTTTTCTCCTTTGTGTCAAGAGTTCATGTATACGGGAGTGAAGAGAAAACCCGGAGCGCTTGTATCCATCCATCCCTGCATTCCTCTTCTCATCCCCATCCTCCCTCTCGGTCAGGTCCTCAAAAACAAAAAACCAAACCCAAACAAAAAAACCAAGACTGCAAATCAGGGACTTTCCGAAGGGCCCACCTGGCCCAGGCGCAACATCGTCATGGCAACCGGAGAGGCTCAGGAACCCATTGGTCCGCTCTCTGCCACACCCCTTACACCACCGCTTCCTGGTAACTAAGGCAACTGAGAGGCTGCCTTTTCTTCTCCATCCTCTCTAGACAGGGTTGGGTAGGGTGGGGACCGGCCCCTCTCTTCCGCTAAGCAAAGCACGATATCCCCATAATGGGTACTAGGGAGGAGGCGGGAGATAAAGAGGCTGTTTCTAGAATTCTGGAGGGGTTGGGCTGTCACTGAAGTCACTTCCGGCGAACACAGGAAGTAGGAGGCAGGTTCCTTTGAGAGACAAGGGTGGAAAGGAAAGGAGCTGGAGTGTCTCCGGAAGGATGGATGGATGGCAGTGCCAGCCTTGATCCCCAATCCCTCTGAATCCAGCCCGCTCCCAGCAGTATGGAGCCCTTTCTAGACTATTAGAGCTGACTTCCGACTATTAACCACCAGCAGGCAGGCATTTGACACACACATCGCATCTTTAACAGAACCCACTCTCCTTTCCCAGCTGACCTGCTTGGCTCTGTCGGGGTTCATCGTGGTTTGGGGTTGAAGAATGTTGACCACCTCGGGCTTGGTCATCGCTTGAGGGATTTCTCGGACCTTCTCTGCGATAAAGCTGTGAACGGCATTCAAGGCCTCTGCCGTGCCCTGTACTAGGCACACCCGTTCTGTAGTTCCTGTTAAGCAAGGGGCAGAGGAGGGCACACATATGAGACAGCAATGGGAGACATTCCTGACAGACTGGACCCATTTCGTGGGAAGGGTCTGGGGCGTGAGTCTGGGCCAGCTGATGTGGGTGACTGGTTCATGGTGGGTAGCGAGCTGAGAGAATGAATGGAATCCCTGTTTTATAATCTGTACTTTATCTCCCTCCCCTGAAACAACCCCGTGGGGATGGGAGAATGACGCTTAAGTGCCCACAGCAGCCCTGGGCACGGGAGGTAGGGCTCAGCTGCCTCTTCCCAGTTCTTGTGGGCGCCCCTTGGTTGCTGTGGCAACCATTCACTCGCCACTCACCCCCCTCTCCTTCCAGAAGGGGAGAGCTTAGGCCCGAAACGGTTGCCACAGTAACTGGAACCCCCTTATCGGTCTGGCTGGCCGGGTCCTCAGCCCACCCCCAGGGGGATGAAGGATGAGGCTCGGTTGCCATGGCAACTGCTGAAAGCCTACAGCGCCTGGCCTCTGGGCTTTTGGAGAGGATGGGGAGAAGATGGGGGATGGGGGAGGCAGAAGAGAGGCCAGAGTGCAGCCTAGACCCACCAGATGGAGGTCTGGGGGGTGGGGGAGGGCAAGGGGTGTGCTTAGGGGAAGAGCAGGCGAGGTCAAAGGCAACTCTTAGAGAATGGGAGTCCAGAGACTGGGAATAGAGGGCGGGGTAGCCAGCTTGCCTTTCTGGAGATCCTCCAGGTATTGGCTGCAAGTCTGACCTGGCATTCTCTGTATGTGCTATGTGTGTATTGGGGAAGGGGAGGAGAGAGAGAAGCTGGGCGATGCTGAAATGTATGCACGGAGGAGAAAGACTAGGTGACACTGTGATCTGTGTGTGCACCTGAGGCTGCCCTGAGGGAGCTATGTGAGTATCTGTATACTTGGGCAGGGTTGGAAAGATGACCATATTGGGTGTGCGTCTAAGCAAAAGACCAGAAGAGATTGCAATAGAAACATACTGTGTGCTGAGGACATGGTTTAGCAATAGAACATCTGTCTAGAATCCCCCAGTGAGGGGCTGGGGGTATGGCTCAGTGGTAGAGCCCCTGCCTAGAATCCCCCAGTGAGGGGCTGGGGTGTGGCTCAGTGGTAGAGCACCTGCCTAGAATCCCCCAGTGAGGGGCTGGGGTGTGGCTCAGTGGTAGAGCACCTGCCTAGAGTTCCCCAGTAAGGCTGGGGGTGTGGCTCAGTGGTAGAGCCCCTGCCTAGAATCCCCCAGTAAGGCTGGGGGTGTGGCTCAGTGGTAGAGCCCCTGCCTAGAGTCCCCCAGTAAGGGGCTGGGGGTGTGGCTCAGTGGTAGAGCCCCTGCCTAGAATCCCCCAATAGGGGTTATGGTTGTAACTCAGCCAGGCACTTGCCTAGAATACACAAGGTCCTGGATTAAATCCCCAGACACAGACACAGACACACACACACACACACACACACACACACACACTCACCCCAAGACAGGCAATATAAGAGAATGACTGGAGTAACAAGGTTTGGAGCCCGAAGACTTTGGCACGTAAGCAACAGAGGCTGTGCAGTGACCTGTCCATGTCCTCAGCCTGCCACTGTAGGAGCCAGACAAAAGAATAGGGCACACCTCCAGGTGCTCCCAAGCTATCTGGGTGGTGAGCATGTGGTGCGAAAATATTTGTACACACACACACACACACACACACACACACACACACACACACACACGGGAGTCAGTCACCAGCCTTTTACTGGCTGTGTGGATGTGAGGACACCGGCAGACTTAAGCGACTGTATGAGGCTGGTTGGCAGGTGTACTGGTTGGTATATGTGCACATTTCCAAGTGTGTGCATCACAGAGAAACAAAGAACCCTCAATCGCGCCTGACCTGTGTGAGAATATGAGTGCATTGGTGTGCCTGGGCCTCTCTGGTGTGATGTGTGGACGTCTCTGTCCCCAGGAGGGACTCAGCTTGTACCGCCAGCTCCCTGGGTCTGTAAAAGGTTTTGAATGTGTGCCAGGTCCTGTGCCTGTGTGTCTGGGACACTTAGTGCTGAGTGTCATTGTCTGTGGAGCACTTCAGTGCGGCGTGCTCCGTGTCCAGCCCTGACCCGTCCGTCCCTTGCCGTCTCTCAGCCTGGCCCGTCAACCCTGCCATGCATCTGGGGTGTCCCTGTCCGTTGGCCAGTCGGGATGCTGAAAACCCCTACTTGGCAACGTGATCCTCACTTTTATGTCCCCTTCACCCAAGAACAATAGCTTGTTGTGGGCCAAGGGTGAGTCAGCTGTAGGCTGACTCTGTCTGGGTGTAAATAGGAAAGGGTGTGGGTTGGGCTGGGAATGAGGGTGGGGATGGGGGGTGGAGGTGGGGTGGGGGAAACCCCAGGGATAGTGTGGGAGACGTGGCCAGGGTCGCCATCTCTGCAAGGCTTCCTTTCCAACTCAGGAAGTCTGTGTGCATCCGCCCCTGTGCAGTTCTTACCGGGGTCCACAAGAGTTTGGTAAGGGAGACCCTGTTAAGCCCTGAAAAAAAGTGTCCTATAATAACAGCTGGTGGTTACATAACACTCAGCGCCAGGCCCTGTTCTGAGGACTTGGTGTCTGTTCACTTGGCATATAAGGCAGGCCCATGTCTTGGTTGCCTTGATGTCCTGTTAAGGACACACAGAGGACTCTGGTCTTGTCCTAGATCACCCAGGCGGTAGAGAATCATCAGAGCTTGTGTGTGTGCGTGTGTGTGTGCGCGTGCGTGCGTGCGTGCGTGCGTGCGTGCGTGCGTGTGTGTGTGTGTGTGTGTGTGTGTGTGTGTGTGCGCGCGTGGTTCAGGGGACAGATAACCTCAGGCGTTGGTCCTCACCTTTCACTTCATTTGAGATAGGGTGTCTTGCTCTCCGCTGTGGAGCAGGCCAGACTAGCTCTCCTACAAGCATTTGGAGATTCTCCTGTCTCTGCCTTGCATGTAGTCATAGCGGCACAGGGATTACAGACACGCCCCTCTGCACCCTACCTTCCATGGGTCCTAGGACTTGAACCCGGGCACCCATATTCGCACGGCCAGTACAGCTCAGTTGATTCCCCGGGTCCGCCATCAGGCTTTCTCAACACAGGCGTCTGGCTTCAGAATTCAGTCTTTTTTTTTTTTCAGCTTTGAGGCAATGTCTTTCTTTGCACCCCAGATTGGCCTTGAACCTGCCATCCCCCTGCCTCAGCTTACCAATTACTGAGGTGTCACATCTATACCACCATACCTCGTGTACTAGTTTCTGTCTGTACTCTTAATCCTAATCCAGCCAGTGCTAAACTTGAGATTCTTTGAGTTGTCTTCCCGTTCTAACCCCCTACAGATGTACACTACCATGCCTGGTGTGTGTGTGACTGTGTGTGTGTGTGTGTGTACTAGAAGAGAGTGCCATATCCCCTGGAACTGAAGTTATAGGTAGATGTTTGTGAGCTGCTTGATGTGAGTGCTGGTCCTCTGAAGGAGCAGCAAGTGCTCTTAACTGCTGATCCATCTCTCCACCCCGAAGCTTTGCTTTTTAGTGATTTATTTATTTTCATCCTGGCTAGCCTGCATGAATGTTTGTTCCTGCAGTGCTCCTGGAGGCCAGAAGAGGGCGGCAGATCCAAGGGAATTGGAGTTACAGATGGCTGTGAGCCACCATGTGGGGTGCTGGGAACTGAACCTGGTCCCTCTGGGAAAAACAGCCAGTGCTCTTCACCACTCAGCCATCTCTCCAGCTTTGAAGCTTTGCTTTGTAATGTCAAGGAAGAATATGAATGACGTCAATTAGTAGATACTTCAGATCTTACACTTTGGGGCTGGAGATGTGGCTCAGTGATAAGGGACCTGCCTGGCAATCCTGAGGCCCTGGGTTCAATTCTTGGCACTGAAAAAAGAAAAAGAAAAGAGGAAAAAAAAAACTTTAACATTGTACATTTATAGCCTGGTGGTGGTGATGGACACCTTTGCCTATAATCCCAGCACTTGGCAGGCAGAGGCAGATGGATCTCTGTGAGTTCCAGGCCAGCTTCGTCTACAAAGCCAGTTCCAGGATAGTCAGGGCTACACAGGGAAATCTTGTTTCAAAAAGCCAATAAATAATTAAACGAACAGACAAACAAACAAATAAATAAAAATTTAAAAAAAGGAAAAGAAAAAGAGGATTTTATACTTTGGTGCAGCTACATTATAAATCAATGATAATCATGAGGATCGCCACATCTGTGCTTTGCTCGTGGGAGTCAGGTTCAGAGCTTTTTACTGACATCCCAACTCTGAAGGCGTTTAAGCTTGACGAGGGGAGTGATGTGGTCAGGAGTCTTTGAGTCCTTTGGGTCAGTATTGCCTTCCCCGGTTCTCCACTTTATCATGAAAAACTCCAAAGGACTGAACCTAACTTTAGGGCTCCATTACTAAGATGAGGCACCTTTTGTGTGTTCTGATCTCTTCTCTTTTGGGTTAAAGGCTGGGTAGGCTTAGCTTTGTGAAGCAGACAAGTGTGTGTGCGTGTGCGTGTGCGTGTGTGTGCAGTGTGTGAAAATCTTAGTCCCACACTGGCTTTTTGGTTTTTGTTATTGGAGATTGAGCCCCTGCAGGATCTTCATATGCTAGGCAGGGGCTCTACCACTGACACAGGTCCCCAGCCCCTCACTGGGGGATTCTAGGCAGGGGCTCTACCACTGAGCCACACCCCAGCCCCTCACTGGGGGATTCTAGGCAGGGGCTCTACCAC